TGGACCCGGGGTGGTGCATGAGGAGAGTGATCCGGAGGATGAGCATGAGGTGGAGGCCATGTCCTTCACACCGCCGGCACACGCTCCTTTGCCGGCTCGCCTCCCAGGAAAGCTTCCTTCCAGGCTTCGATAAAAAACGAAGGACTACGATGCACAGCTGTCGATGCTTCATAGGTTGGTGCTTGCGTGAAAAATGTGTTTCCTCCCTACTGTTTAGCCATGCGTATGTACTCTACATAAAAACCGGCCATTGTCCTGATATTGTTAATACATATGGGTTGGGTGCTCTATAGTGAGCAGGGCCTCCGTATTCCCCTCTATATAGGACCCTAGAGACTTTCTAAAAATGACATTTTTTGAAAGTGTGAAACACTTTCTAAAAATTAAGATTGTGAAAGCGCAGCTGACTGTAGTGAAGCAAGGCAACTGTGAATGCTTGTTCCCGAGTATATAACGAGGGTTGGAGGCCATTTGGCCTCCACCCACGTCTTCATTTCGGAACTTTTCAGTTCCGCTTCATTCTCGTCCAACCACTTCTACTCTCACTCATTCCTAAATCACACTTATTTTTAGTATGGAGACAACGCTAGGACAAGTGCTGCAGCAGCAACATAACTTAGTAGCTGCTACGCGCGTTAACTGCGGAGGGTACAGCATCGCGCACGCGATGCACTTGGCGTGCGCACAACCGAGAATGAGCTGCGCATGAAGCAACGGCCACTGGCGCATCAGTGACGAAATTGCCACGTGCGCCAGTGGCGTAAGATTTTGACGAAATCGTCACTTGCGCCAGTGGCGCGCGTGTCTGGCGAAATCGCCACTTGCGCCACTGGCGCGCGTGTGTGGCGAAATCGCCACGTGCGCCACTGGCGCGCGTGTGTGGCGAAATCGCCACTTGCGCCACTGGCGCGCGTGTGTGGCGAAATCGCCACGTGCGCCACTGGCGCGCGTGTGTGGCGAAATCGCCACTTGCGCCAGTGGCGCGCGCCTGTGGCGAAATCGCCACGGACGAAATGGCCAGTGGCGCGGCATTCAAGAAACTGCCACTGCCGCACCTAAGGCGTTTGACTGGGCGTGAACCACCAGTGCAGTACCCCATGTCACCTCACAAATTGTTTAGCTGCATATAAATTGTTGCAAAGTTTTTTTTTCATTTTCTTTTTCTTCTTTCCAGTTCTAATTTCTTCTCTTATTGCCTATCAATCTCGATGCTTCCTTATGGCAGAAAAACGGGCACAGGATGGAAAGCCGCTGATTGAAGTCGGACTCTACTACTCGCGCGGAAAAATTGCAACGACGACGGGACCAACTGCACGCACATCGAAACGAGGGGACCGAGAGCCGCCCCCTGGGGGGGAAAGGGACCGAGGGTCCCCAAGTTGGCCTGAGAGCCGCCCCCAGGGGGGGAAGGGGACCGAGGGTCCCCGAGTTGGCCTGAGAGCCGCCCCCAGGGGGGGAAGGGGACCGAGGGTCCCCGAGTTGGCCTGAGAGCCGCCCCCAGGGGGGGAAGGGGACCGAGGGCCCCCGAGTTGGCCTGAGAGCCGCCCCCAGGGGGGGAAGGGGACCGAGGGTCCCCGAGTTGGCCTGAGAGCCGCCCCCAGGGGGGGAAGGGGACCGAGGGTCCCCGAGTTGGCCTGAGAGCCGCCCCCAGGGGGGGAAGGGGACCGAGGGTCTCCGAGTTGGCCTGAGAGCCGCTCCCAGGGGGGGAAAGGGGACCGAGGGTCACCAAGTTGGCCTGAGAGCCGCCCCCAGGGGGGGAAGGGGACCGAGGGTCCCCAAGTTGGCCTGAGAGCCGCCCCCAGGGGGAGAAGGGGACCTAGTCCCGCGAGCTTCGATGCCAAAACCACTTCCAGAGGGGGAAGGAAAGGTACGCCAGAGGGGGAAGTATGCTAGCCAGAGGGCCAGCTTCTTAGGGAGGGGGGATCTGCGGACTTGTAAACCCTGATCATTGTCTATATGGATTTGTAGTATCATTGGCTATTTATGTGTACGATATGATATAGAAAAAAAAAAAAAAAATCACAAGCAATCCTGGTCTTGTAAACGGATGGTGGAGCCACAAACAAACATTCGACTGACTTTGGTAAGGTTGGTAGAGTGCAGCTGTAGTAAGGACATATATTGGATCCTACCTTCTCACTCTCCTACACTGCACAATGAGGGAGGATCTGGCGTCTTGCAGCCGTTATTCACTAGTGCACTACGGTCCAAGATAGAGACGAGCAACCGATGGGCCGAGAGACGAGCAACCGACGGGCCACAGGACGCGCAACCAGGCCCTAAGTTATCAGGATATTATATCCCGAATTTCCTGAATTGAGGATAGGTGTTGTGGGCTTCTCTTGAAGAAGAAGAAAAAAAAAAAAACAGATGATGTAAATTCAGTGTGGTGGTCATCTTGCGTACTGAAAATTCAGTATAACGCTTTAGGTCCGGCCCTGATGAGTCCAGATAGTGTCGGGACTCGTCCGGAAGTGAGTACTGCGCAAAATGTTCTCGGGGCCCAGTATACCCCAACCATCGACCTGGTACAACGTATGTTACGCTCCGCGATTGTCACCCTGATTTTTGTTGCATGGCTCGCGCAAAACCAGACCGCGCCCAACCTGGAAACGCATCATTGTTGTAATCACTACCAATATGAGAGTGTCGCTGACTTAACACGCAGGAAAAGCACGGCCAAGTTTGCAAGATGCTGTTGGATATATGTACCGTAATGTAGCACTAATCTGCCAGGCTACCGTCAGAGTCCGTAATGACGGTTCAACAAACCTCTCCCAGTCCAGCCCTAACAAATCAGGACAAAATTCGACTTCCTACCAAACTGCCCTGATGCCTCAATGTACCCTCAAACGAATATGAGGGCATGTGAGCAACGACGGTCCAGGAGACGATCAACCAACGGTCACGAGACGAGCAGCCGACGGGCCACGAGATGAGCAATTGACGGGCCACAAGACGAGCAACCAACGAGCCACGAGACGAGCAACCGACGGGCTACGAGACGAGCAACCGATGAGCCACGAGACGAGCAACCGATGGGCTAAGCGATGAGCACCCGATGGGCCAAGAGACAAACAACAAATGGGCCGGGAGACAAGCAACCGATGGGTCAGTAACGCATGGCTTGAGGTCTTGATATACAACATTATTCTTACGAACCCACATCCTTATGGATGACGCACACCGTACCGCCCCTGTAGGCATCATATTTCAATATCTGCCACTACCCTGCAACTACACCTCATTCTGGGCACCTTAGTTCCTCAATCTAAAAATTTCGTACCCTGAGCCGATCGCAAATATGAAAGGCCACAAATTAACCTTGTCTGACAGACCCACCACCAAAGCATCAACTACTAACGTAGCCAAATGACATTCTTTCCTCCATGTTTGGTCCGTCAGCTCCAGTTTTCAAATTCAAGCATCCATTCTTGCTAACACGTCACTAGTCCAAAACCCTCTACACCGCCATTCACCAAACAAGATCAACATCGCTGCATCAGTCGCTGCGCAACACTCGGAGCCTCATCCCTGACACATGGGCCGTCTTCAACAAACCATCTCCTCCACCGCGGATGCCAGCACAACAATCATTATAAACCATGGCTCCCCACTCCACCAACAAATGACCGGCACAAGGAGGGAGCGACTTGCATAACCACGTCGACATAGAACGCAACAACCGGCATAACAATTGATGTTACTGGACGTCGCCATCAACCAGCTCCACGATCCACACTCTGCCAACGCACGCACATGTCTCAGAAGACCCAATTAAAATGAAGCACGTTGCCTTGCAAGAACCAGAAAGCAAGCTTTCTCAATATGACATTTTTTGCAAGTGTGAAACACTTTCTAAAAAATAAGATTGTGAAAGCGCAGCTGACTGTAGTGAAGCAAGGCAACTGCGAATGCTTGTTCCCGAGTATATAACGAGGGTTGGAGGCCATTTGGCCTCCACCCACGTCTTCATTTCGGAACTTTTCAGTTCCGCTTCCCCCCCGCCCGCCCCTAGTTGATCTTTGTGTAATGCTAAGTTGGACGAGAATGTTGTAATTACCCAATTAAAATGAAGCACGTTGCCTTGCAAGAACCAGAAAGCAAGCTTTCTCAATATATCCCAAAAAGGTTAAGTGAACATCTAAACGGCAGCAACTTTCAGTTTGCAACTACATTTTTTAATTTAGGGGTGTACCTTTCAGTTTTAGCAGGGGAAAACTTTGAGAATGGTAACACTTATGGAGCTCAATAATGCGTACGGTAACTATTACTATGTATTTTCACGTGTTTGATACACGCGTTGGTGTTATCATTAGTGATAACTCTGTAAAGGAAGTACTCCGAAATAGTTTATAGGTGCGATTGCAGCACCGCGAAATTGCGCTGAATTGGCCGTCCGAGCAGGTCAAACGCGGCATCCCCTGGTCGGAACAGCCGTGCCAAGCAAGGGTCACATCACATCACATCACAATCTCCTCCGAAATGGGCCATTGTCTTCGCCCTACGAAATTCAAATGCGCGAGCCTCGGGAGTATCCTCAACCACAACAGTCGTTCGTTAGTACGTTATCGTGGAAGTTTCGCCAAGGGAGAAATGCGAATATGTGGGTCTTGACGAGCATCGCCACGAGTAGATCGGGTTTCGACGACATTCTTCGCCGGAAACAGAGCTTGTCTTCCCATTCCCATCCACCCTTCCTGACTGCAATTATTTTTAGCGGCTCTGCATCCCCGACTACAATAATCGTCGTTTTTCAGCCAGAACAACAGCCACTTTAGGCACCGTGAAATCTTTCTCAGCGAATTCTCGTCGGGAGTCTCAGTAACAATAGTAGCCGATACCAATCCTTAACTAGCTTCTATGGCTCAGCAACGACACCTCCATACAAGCGAGCGTCGCGCCTTACTACTCTCCGTCGCCATCGTATTGATTCTGGTACCGTTAGCTCGCGCTCAACAGCGTTGCTCAAGCTCCACGCCGTGTGACCCGCCGAGCCTATGCTGCAGGTTAGTTTGAGACGTCTCACAGGGCGCTCCTCTCCTCTCCCTGTCAGGGTCGTTTTCATGCTTTCAAAACACAAACCTTTCAGTCGTTCAAGATGCTTTCGGAACACGCAAATCCCTTTGTATCAACCTCTTCTTCTTCTCAAACTTACGTTCAGAACACGCATTCATATATTTCGATCTCAGGTTTGCATTCACTGCGGCCTTTCTCTTCGGCCCCAAACACCTCGCTCGCCCCTGTCTCTTCGGCCTCCCATCCCTTCGCCTTCTTTTTATTTCACCTCTCCTTCTCCCGCTCTCTCCTTGACCCTATTCCCCTGCCTCGAACCTCACCCGATTTTTTCCCTCAGCGGGGCTGGCTATTGTGGAACCAGTGACGCCTACTGCGGCACGGGATGCCAGAACGGGCCATGGGGTTTTGGTGAGGATGGTTCTCTTGATCAGATGCTTCAGATGATCCAAATCAATATTTGATTCGTGATATTTATTAGAAAAGCGGATGATTCGAACAATAAATATTATTTTGATTAGATAAGTCAGACGTTTATTCTTTATTCAGATCATCCGCACGGCCTCGACGGTAAGTGCCATTCTCTAGCACGATTAACTCTCTCTCATGCTCTTTCATATCCATTTCCTCCCATGTTCCATGCATACACGCATACACACACTAGCAAATTCATACATGCACACAGTATGCATGCATAGCCATGCATACACTCACTAAGCCACCTTGCTGTCCGTCCCCGTCGTCTGTCTCTCTCTTTGATTCCAGCAACGACAACTCAACAGTTCTGCTCCAGCTCCTCGCCGTGTAACCCGCCGAGCCTATGCTGCAGGTTGGTTTGAGGTCTCTCACAGCCGGAGCCTATCGTGCTGCTGGTCAGCTCGACGCCGCTCCTCTCCCGCCCTTTCCTGTCATGTCATGCTGTCAGAACACACCCTTTGGTCCTTAAATGCTTTCAAAATATGCACCTTTGGAACTTTGGTGCTTCTAATACACGCATTCCTTTCCATCTACCAGTTTCGAGGCCTCTCAAAGCTCGGAACACGCATTCAATATTATCTAAGCCCATCCATCTATCTCTCAACCTCATTCTTGCAACGTCTCATTCACGGCTGGACTCTTTCCCCTTCCCCTCAATCACCCTGACCGCCTCCTCTCTTTTCCCTCTCTTTTCTCCTGCTCTGTCCTTAACCCTCTTAACCGGTCTCGTTTCTCACCATCTTTTGCCCGCAGCCAGTATGGCTGGTGTGGAAGCAACGACTCCTACTGCGGCACGGGATGCCAGAACGGGCCGTGCTCTGGTGAGGATTGTTCAAATGTTTGCGGGTACGACTTTTGAGGCGCCTTAAATGTTTTTAGGCGCCTCAGAACGTGCCGTGCTCTGGTGAGGCCGATTTTGATGACTGGGACGCTTTGGATAAATAGGATACTTTTCGCAATTCAATTCTGATGATTCGGATAATTTGGATCATTTTGCGTTCCCTCACCTCCTCCTTCCTCCCACTCCGCCTTACCCCCACCTCCCATCTTGTTCCCCACCTCCGCCTCCCCCATACTTCCCCACCAGGCGGAGCAGCAAAGGGTGCCTCTGTGTCCACAGGGGTGGTGGTGGGGGTGGTGGTGGGAGCGGTGCTGCTGCTGCTGGGAGTGGTGCTACTAGCGGTGTTCTGGTATCAGAGAAGGCGCAGGGCCAAGGCAGCGGCAAATCAGGGAACCACAGATGAAGGTAAGTTAAGGCGTGGTTCTGTTGCTGGGAGCAGTGCTGCTGCTGCTGGGAGTGGTGCTACTCTCGGTGTACTGGTATCAGAGAAGGCGCAGGGCCAAGGCAGCGGCAAATCAGGGAACCACAGATGAAGGTAAGTCGAGGCGTGTGAGGTGGTTTCTGGGCTTGTGGGGGTGGTGGTGGAAGCGGTGTTGCTGGTGCTGCAGGGAGTGGTGCTTGTAGCGGTGTGCTTGTATCAGAGAAGGCGCAGGGCCAAGGCAGCAGCAGAGAAAGGAGCCACAGATGAAGGTATGTGAAGGCGTGCGAGGTGGTTCCTGGGTTTGTGGGGGCTTACAGATAAACAAAGATATTGTGGAACAAATAGGGGGCTCACAGTTTACTGATTATTACTGGGCTACTGATTCACAAAGGGTTAGAAGGATAAAAAAAAAGAATCACGAATTTATGAGCGGCTCGGGGATGCAAAGATCGTGTTAACTGTGCTCAGGGTTAATGAGATTTCCCAAAACTGTCCATCCTCATCCGACCCTACCCCTCTTCCTGTCACTTATGCACCATTCCTCCAGAATCAGCAAAAGCAGGAGTAGCACCAGCAGCCGCAGCAGCTACCGCAGCAGTAGCACCAGCACCAGGACCCGATGCAGCAGCAGCAGCAAGAGGAATGGGAATGCGTGGGCCCGTGCAGTGCCAAAGCTACCCCTTATCTGACGTCCTGTGGGCCACTAACAACTGGGCTGAGGCGAACAACATTAGAAGCGGCGGGTACGGGGTGGTGTACAAGGGTGTGTCGCCGCATGACCCAACGGTGCTGTGGGCTGTGAAGCGCGCCACTGTATTCACCACCGATGACTTCCGTCGAGAGGTGCGTGGTGCGGTGCAGTGTAGTGCAGTGTGGTGCGGTACGGTGTGGTGTGGTGTGGTGTGGTGTGATGTGATGGGGTGTACCACCTAGCTAGTGTGGATGTTATTGAAGATCTGGCAGCGGCTTGTTCAGGGGCGTGTTCAAGGATATGTCGCCCCATGACCCGTCCCTCTCCCTTCCTCCATCTCCCCTCCCACCCCCTTCCCCTATCTCCACGTCAGGTGGAGGAGATGGCATCAAAGAATCACGTCAATCTCGTGCGCCTCTTAGGCTACTGCAGCCACATGGACGCAGCAATTGGGGGAATAGAGCAGATTCTCATCTACGAGTTCATGCACAACGTCGACCTCGAGGGATGGGTGGGACCAGGTGGGTTGTGAGTCGATTCAAGAGACAGCTCGTGACTGCCGTGACGGCTGGGGGAATGGCTGGGGACACAGAGCAGATTCTCATCTATGAGCACATACACCACGGTGACCTCGAGAGATGGGTGGGACCAGGTGGGTGCTTGAATGGGTTGCGTTGATACCCTGAATCGATGATGATCCCCAGACAAGTGCTGCTCGTCCGTCCATTCTGACCTTGTTCTGTGACTCTCCCTTCCTGTAGGTGTTTCTTTTTTAATACCATTAAAGCAATCCTTGCTTTGATTCCTTGACCTCCCAACGCATCAACCACACCACCAGGCGTTGCTGTCCCTCTGAACCTGCGGCAGCGCTTTGACGTGCTCATAGGGGTGGCACAGGGCCTTCAGTACCTCCACAGCTTTGGCCTTGTGCATCGCGATATCAAGCCCGCCAACATCCTGCTTGACAGAAACATGCAGGTACATGGATGTGTGCATGTATTCATTCAAGGGTGCGTGCATGTATGAGCATCCATGGGTGCATATATGAGCACACATATGACACCACTCTCTCTATCCCAACATTCGTGTCTCTATTCACAATTGTCCTGCTTTTTATTATTCTTCGGCTCATCACCCTCCCACTTCCCTCTATCCCATGCGTCTCCGTCTCTGCGCCTCTCTCTCCCCACCTCTATCTCTCCGCCTCTCTCTCCCCACCTCTATCTCTCCGCCTCTATCTCCCCACCTCTATCTCTCCGCCTCTATCTCTCCACCCCTCTTCAGGCCAAGGTAGCTGACTTTGGGTTGGTGTGGATAAGCAAAGGTGCTACTGTTGATGCAACACGGGTGATGGGAACACCGGGCTATGTGGATCCAGCATACTCATGGACACAGAAGGCTACTCCCGCAGCAGATGTGTACAGGTGAGTGGAGATCCAAGGGTGAGCGTCTTGTTGATAGCACAGGTGAGTGCAGGGGTGAGTGCATGGGTGAGTGTACGGGTCACAGGTGACGGAACTCCAGGCTATGTGGACCCAGCATATTCATGGAGACAAAAGGCCACTCCTGCAGCAGACAGGTGAGAGAAGGCACAAGTTCGTGCTAATTACCATCATTGCACACAATCATTGCACTCATGCCTGTGCCCGTGTGTTGATGCTGTCAGTCGTCACAGCACGCAAGGGTGTGCACTACTTGTAGACAATCAAACATGACAGTCCCGTGCCACTGTGCCATTCAAGACCTGCAATGCTATGCCTGTGCCTTTCCTGCTTGTCCCGTGTCCCTCACAGCTTTGGAGTGGTGGTGCTGTCAGTTGTTACTGCACGCAAAGGTGTGGTCTACTTGGCAGGCCACACAGCCGTGAATTCTCTCGAGGACAACCGGATGAAGCTCACTGATTGGGTGAGTCTGCTATTGGGAAAAAGATGAAAAAGGCGATGGTTGATTGATCAACGGATGAAAATTGGCCATGATTAATCAACGGATGACAAAAATACAAGATTGGTCAAGGCATGAAGTGGCTGACTGAGAGAGTAGCAGGCAGGCAGCCAGATCTAGCGAACGGAATGGTTGTGCTCGCTACGTGAAAAGGACGCACAGGGCGATTGAGGCAGATTGTGAGAGGTGTAGGGTTACTATGCAGGCAGATTGATCCCTCACAAGGGGAGAAAATGTTACGAAACATCATTTTAACAAAACAAGCATATGCTGGAAAGTCTAAATCTTGGCAAACATTTCGACTACTCTCTTAAGCCTCTTGTGCCTCTTGTATCCCTCCTCCCCTCGTTGCATACTCCCCTTCCAGGAGCAACCCCTAGTGGGTGCAGGGAATGCATACGTGATCATGGCGTGCTCATTGGTTGCAGACGGGGTCTAATACCCTTGTGTCTGTGTCTTCCTCCATCCAGGTGCCACCCCTAGTGGTCGCAGGGAATGCTTACACCAGCAAGGACCCGCGTCTAGTCGCCCCCAGCCACGTCGTCGTCTCATGCCTCTCATGCCTCTTGTATCACTTCTGTCTCTCCCGCCTGTTCCTCCCGCACCCCACGCCTTCCAGGTGCAACCCCTAGTGGACGCGGGGAATGCGGACGCCCTCTAAGGACACGCGTCTAGTCGCCCCCGGCCACATCAACCTCTCGTGCCTCTCATGCCCCTTATCCCCCTTGTATCCCTTACCCCACCCCTACAGGTGCAACCCCTAGTGGACGCAGAGAACGCAGACACCATCAAAGACCCCCGTCTAGACGCCCCTAACCACATCATCCTCCCCCTAGCCCGCTTTGCCCTCTCCTGCACAACCACGCCCGTGATTGCCCGTCCCACCATGGCCCGTATTGTATCCGAGCTCATGGCTATGAAAGAAGAGTGCTTTGGTCCAGAAACCGACCCTGTGCTGGAGAATGTGGACCGGCATGTGGAGGACATGCGGGTCTCGAGCCTCTCCCAGGAGCTTCGGAGAGCGAGCCGTACTTCGGAACGGGAAGGAGCGTCGGGTTTCAGTAGTACGATGGGGTCTGTTGAGGAAAATGGAGGCTATAGGTAGCTTTGATAGATGAGTGCTCTGTGTTGTATAAGTAAGTTCAATAAAAGGAATTCGGCTTGTTAAAAGGTCTTAGTGGAACCAAAGTATTGACTAATGGTTGACGGGTGGTTGAGGGGAGGTACGGTTTTTGCCTTGGCCATGGCTTGTTTGCAAATATCCGGATGTATGCTTTCAATAACGCATGAGGTAACCAATGTACCAAAGTCATACCCGCTGATCCATCTGAACACTATGCATTGAAAATGAACCAATTCGAGAGAGGGTAATGGTTTATATTACAGGTTTCGTATATAGTGGTGACTCTAATTAGTACTGCCAGCCTTGGTAGTACACTGCAGACCAGGCGGACAATTCTTAAACCAGCCCAAATACCAGGGGGGTGTGGTGGACCCACATTGTACACTGCTGCAAAACGTTTTTAGCGTTTCATTTTCCACACCTGGTACAACTTGTAACAGGGAACGAGGACGACAATAAGATGGTTCACAAAAACACCCCTTGAACCGGCTGCGACTGAGGTTCTAGCACGCCAACGAAATTGTAACTTGCTGCCCGTCGACTGTTTCGCACACTTTTCATGAATGAAATGCCCCTTGTAACTCGTCCCTCTTTGCTGTTATTCGCAACACTCGTTCAAGTGCTGGTCCGCATCTGGTCGGAGGTGCTGTTTCGAAGCTGGTCCGCGACCCGTCCGACGGGTGGTCCGCATGCTTTTTGTCGGACCAGAAAGGGCGGACGCACCTAGGCCTTGGGGCTGAGGAGCCCCAACAGAACTAGTGTGAGACACTCTTGCGCTTCGCGAGGCTGCTAGTATCCGCCCAACTGCTATCGTTGGTTTTGTTGTCGGTGGCGGTGGAACATGAGTTTCGCCAAAGGGGCCAAAGCGAAACTGTCGTGTTTATGTCGCACCTCGCCACTGGCAAAACAGGCTTCGCTTGCAGCGGTTACCATATCGAGTCCGGATACGTGTCGTAGCCGCAACTCATGTTCACCCCCTCACATTCGCTCTCCCTGCCCTCGTATCACCACCACCCGAATCCCCGACAACAATAATCGTCATCCTTCGCAGTTTCATCAGAGATATAGCAACAACAATAATGGTAATTTTTCAGGAAGCGCAAGCACGCACGAGCAGAAACCGCTAAATAGTAAGGATTCTCGTCATACATCTCATCATCATTTGCTCGCGTCATTTGTTCTCTTAGTATCATTTATATTGCAGCCGATAGCAATCCCTTCGCTAGTTTCCATGGCTCCTCCGTGGCGCCTCCACGCTGCGAGCGTGCTTCGCGCCTCGGCAACGTTACTACTCTCCATCGCCATCGCATTGATTCTGATGCCAGTAGCGCGAGCTCAACAATGCTCGAGCTCCTCGCCGTGTAACCCGCCGAGCCTATGCTGCAGGTTAGTTTGAGACGTCTCACAACCCGAGCCAGTCATGCCGCATGTCCGTCATGAGATTGTTTTAGAAACATCGGATTTCTCTCAACAGTGTTCGAGATCACAGCCGTGTGATTCGCCGAGAGTATCTTGGAGGTCGTCTAGATTCTTTCGGAAACCGTTCTCCTCCTTCCTGTCATTTCATGCATTAAGAACACGCCGTTTCCGGTCGTTTCGTGCGTTCACAGCAACGGACATTTTCATCCTCACGATTTTGATTACACAACACACAATCCTTTCCCTTGCGCCTGCCTCGTTTCTCACCCTCTTTTGCCCGCAGCCAGTGTGGCTGGTGCGGAAGCAATGCCTCCTACTGCGGTGCGGGATGCCAGAACGGGCCGTGCTTTGGTGAGATGTTCAACTGATTCAGATAATTCATATGTTTTGAATAAATCGGATAATGTTGAAGACTTGGAAACAATCGGACAATTCGGCTGATTTGGATTATTAGAATGATTCGGGTACTCCGGATGTGGCTGCATGGGCATGGCTCCGTTCATCACTCATTATCGTTTGACCTTATTTCATTCCCGTGCACAGACACAGGAGGCACAGGCACCGGCTCGGGGGACTTCCGCCGCATCAGCTACTTCCCCAACTGGAGCGGCATCGACCCCAGCACCTTCCAAGTGAACCACTTCACTCACATCGTCTACGCCTTTGCTGCCATCAGCCCTGTCAACTACACTGTAAGCCCCCGTGCTCTCAACTGCACAGTAAAGCCCCGTGCTCAACTACACTGTAAGCCCTCACACAGTCTTCCCTACGCTCTCCCCTCACGCTCTGTCCCTCACACTTTCTCCCTCATGCTTTCTCCCTCACGCTCACTCCCTCACACTCTCTCCCTCATGCTCTCTCCCTCATGCTCTCTCCCTCATGCTCGCTCCCCTCATGCTCTCTCCCTCATGCTCGCTCCCTCATGCTCTCTCCCTCATGCTCTCTCCCTCATGCTCTCTCCCTCATGCTCTCTCCCTCATGCTCTCTCCCTCATGCTCTCTCCCTCATGCTCTCTCCCTCGTGCTCTCTCCCTCATGCTCTCTCCCTCGTGCTCTCTCCCTCATGCTCTCTCCCTCATGCTCTCTCCCTCGTGCTCTCCCCCTCATGCTCTCTCCCTCATGCTCTCTCCGTCATACTCTCTCCCCTCATGCTCTCTCCCTCATGCTCTCTCCCTCACGCTTCCTCCCTCGTGCTCTGTTCCTCATATACTGCCACGGCCTTGTCAATTTCTTCACTGCAGCCATGAAGACCAAAAACCATCGGTGAACGCGCGTTCCCCCTTTCTCTCCCCATATCTCTTCCTCCCTCTTCTCCCATCCAGTTGGTACCCTCCGATTGGTGGACAGACGTCTCTGGCGGCCTCTACTCCCGCTTCACCGCAGCCATAAAGTCCAAAAACCCCGCAGTCAAGCCGATTCTCTCCATCGGCGGTGGTGATGCCGTCAGCGCACCGCGGTTCTCTTATGTCTCAGCTACTCAAGCACGGCGCACTAAGTTTATCAACTCAGCGATTGTTTTAGCCAGGAAGTATGGATTTCAGGGGATTGACATAGATTGGGAGACTCCAAAGGGTATTCCAGCGCGCTTTTCAGCGCTGATTCAAGATTTCCGGGCAGCTGTTGATGCTGAAGCTGCCCGGACAGGTCGCGAGAAGCTCACGCTGTCCGCAGCGGTGCCGGGGTATACGGGGGAGATTGATTCCAGCTTCCATATCCCGACACTTAACAAAGTGCTGGACTGGGTTGGCATTATGACGTATGACATGCATGGGGAGTGGGAAGCAGAGACTGGACAGCACACAGCCCTGGAGGACAAGAAAAACCCATTGGCAAGCATTAAGGGGTCTGTGCCAGTTTTTGTTGCCAAGGGATTGTCAAGAAGTAAGCTGGTGCTGGGTCTGGCCTCTTACGGTCAAGCGTGGACTCTTAAGAATGCTGGGAATCATTTGGTTGGGGCACCTGCTAAAGGAGGCCCCACTATGAGCTACAAGGAGATAGCCACGTTCATCGCGAATGGTGCTACAGCTGTGTTTGATTCCCCGACTTCGTCTATGTATACTTACAAGGGGACGAAGTGGGTGGGGTACGACAATCCTGACACAATTGCAATGAAGGTAAAATATGCCAAGCAGCAAGGGCTGGGTGGTTACATGTTCTGGTCATTTGATCAAGATAATGGATATAGTTTAGCCAAGGCCGCTGCTTCAACGGTTTAGGCTTAGTCACCACATCAGCTGCTGTTTCCTATATATACATATATATTGATGCTTATTTTTGGAAATGGCTGTCCCGAAGTTGGTCCAGAAAACCTGAAGCGGGGATTGGATGACCCAGTGAGCCCAGCTTCATTCCCGAAGAAACATCTCAACGGAAAGAGGGTCGATGGTTGATTTTGCCAGGGAAAATCAAGAGGAAATTGTGGCGAGCCTCGCCCCCACCAAGTTTCGGGTCTTGACTTGATTATCACCCAACACGCAGAACTATTTCTATTTTGTGGCGAATGTCGGTTCGACATTCTTGACGTCTTCCTGCCGAATGTCGGTCCCATGGCACGATATCAGCGACTCCACATTCGCCTTCATTTCAGGCAGAACCAGCAGAAGGTACAGCAGGCACCACAGATTCGTCACGGATTCTTCGAGCATTGCTGGTTCTTTATTTCGAGTTTTGGTGTCCTCAGTACAGCAACAATAGCAACCAATAGCAATCATTAGCTCGCTTCCATGGCTCCTTCTTGGCGCGTCTCTACGACCGAGCTTCGCGTCACGGCCACCTTACTACTCTCCATCGCCATCGCTTTGACTTTAATTCCAGCAGCGCACGCTCAACAATGCTCGAGCTCCTCGCCGTGTAACCCGCCGAGCCTATGCTGCAGGTCGGTTTTGAAACGCTAAAGACCCTATCCTGGGCTTTCGTGCTGCGAGTCAGCTGACGACCTTCCTCTCGTTGCTCCTTCCTGCCGTTCCATGCTTCAGAACACGCCCTTCGGCCCTACGGTGCTTTCAGAGCACCGTTTTTCTCTCATAAATTATTTTTTTTTTAGTTCCGGAAGGTCTCACAACTCTTCTCCAAAGACGCAAACTCTGTTTTTATCTAAGCTTATTGATTTTTCTGGCGAGCGCTTTCTTTCATTTGTACTGATTGGCTTGACAGCGAGACCCTCCCCCATTGCACTCTCTCACCTCAACCGCGGTCCCATCCGCACAGTCTCTTCGATTCTCTCGTCCCTTCCCCTTATTCTCCTACCCGGCGCCTCTTTTGAGTCGACTCAAAAGTCAGACGCGGTCCCATCCACCCTTCTCTTCGCCCCTCTCGTCTCTTCCCCTTCTTCTCCTACCCTGCGCCTCTCATCCTCCTGCCTTGGCCGTCGCTCACTCTTTTGCACGCAGCAAGTGGGGCTGGTGTGGAAGCAACGCCTCATACTGCGGTGCGGGGTGCCGGAACGGGCCGTGCTCTGGTGAGGATAATTCAGAGGCCTCAGACAAATTAGAGATGCTTCGGATGATAGAGATGATTCTGTTTATTAATGTATTATTTCGGATGTTTCTGGTGATTCGATATTCTCCGGTGCTTCAGATGTTCAGATGAGTAAGATGAGTCATATGATTCATATGGTTCAGGTGATTCAGGTGGTCTTGTCAGATTGAGTGAACATCATCTCATCCTAGCCCATCCATGCGCACTTGCATGCACACGGACATGCACGCATGCCATGCCATGCCAACACTGTTCCGACAGCGTCATCATCTGCTCCACCGCTTGTGCCGCACGCACGGGCACGGGCACGGGCACAGCTCCCTTTTGCCACGTCACCCACTACCCAACTGGAGCAACATCGACCCCAGCACGTTTTCATGATTGCCCCCTTTGCCCGCACCACTTTGTTCCCACCCCTTTGTTCCCACCCCTTTGCTCACACCGCTCGCCCTGCACGTGCTCAGCTTCCTTCCGCCGCATCACCTACTTCCCCAACTGGAGCGGCATCGACCCCAGCACCTTCCAAGTGAACCACTTTACTCACATCGTCTACGCCTTTGCTGCCATCAGCCCCCTCAACTACACTGTAAGCCCTTGCGTTCATGTGCCTCATTTGCCCATTCGTTCATTCATTCGTGCTTTCCAGGCGCCTTACAAGAGCATCATAATCTGAGGCGCCTAGAACCTCTCCTTTCCAAGCACCTTACCACTCTTTGTCATCGGTCAACACTTGCTTCCTCTCTTTTCTCCCATCCACGTGGTGCCCTATGAGTGGTGGACGGACATCTATCACGGCCTCTACACTCTCTTCACAGCAGCCATCAAGGCCAAGAACCCAGCAGTCAAGCCAGTCCTCTCCTTTCTCTCCTCGTCCTTGTTTCTTCCTTCCCCACATCCAGGTGGTGCCCTATGAGTGGTGGACGGACATCTATCACGGCCTCTACACCCGCTTCACGGCAGCCATCAAGGCCAAGAACCCAGCAGTCAAGTCAGTTCTCTCCATCGGCGGTGGTGATGCAGTCAGCGCGCCGCGGTTCGCTTATGTTTCGGCTACCAAAGCGCCCCGCACAAAGTTCATAAACTCAGGGATTGCATTGGCGAGAAAGTACGGGTTTCAGGGGATTGACATCGATTGGGAGCTTCCGAAGGGGATGCCAGGCCGGTTTTCAGCCCTGATTTCTGATTTTCGGGCAGCAATTGATGCTGAAGCTGCCCGGACACGTCGTGCAAAGCTCACGCTCTCGGCAGCTGTGACAGGGTATGCGGGGGAAATCGATTCCTGCTACCAGATGCCGACACTTAACAAAGTGCTAGACTGGGTGGGAATAATGACGTATGAGTTTCACGGGGAGTGGGACGACGTGACTGCGCAGCACACTGCTCTGGAAGACAAGAAAAACCCGCTATTGAGCATCAAAGGTGCTGTTGCAGGTTTTATTGCCAAGGGTTTGTCAAGAAGTAAGCTGGTGCTGGGTCTGGCATCCTATGGCCATGTGTGGACGCTCAAGTCTGCTGCAAGCCATGGGGTTGGGGCACCTGCTAAAGGAGGTCCCACTATGAGCTACAAAGACATTGTGAAGTTCATTGCGGGTGGTGCTACAGCTGCATTCGATTCGCCATCTTCGTCAATGTATGCTTATAAAGGGACCACATGGGTGGGGTACGACAATCCTGACACAATTTCCAAGAAGGTGCAGTATGCCAAGCAACAAGGGCTGGGAGGTTACATGTTCTGGTCTTTTGATCAAGATTATGGATATAGTTTAGCCAAGTCTGCTGTTACAGCAGCTTCGACCTAGTCAACAAATAGTTTGTTTTCATGTTAGATGTAGTAATGGCAGCTGTTAATATTGCTCTTACACTTGCTCTTCTGTTGATGACTTTAAAAGATATGTAGCACAAGCTAGCTGGTCTTGTGCATTTTATAAATTCCTCCCTTATATTTTTGCATAATTAACGGGATACTGTTGAAATCCGAAGTGCAGCTATCACGAGCAATAGCGGAGTGACCAGAAACAAAACGGCTGAACTCAGCGACCTTCGAGATTTGCCTATCATCGAGGGCTGACAGGCGAAGTTGATGTTTGGCAGGAGATCGGACGGTGGACAGGGATATAGTCCCGTCGCTGCTGCGCGGGTGCATTGTGCAATCTCGAGGCTACTGGATTTAGCTGAGGCTGAACGTTGAAGTCCGATTTTTAGAAAATACTGTTTCTCTTACCCAGGCCATCATAGGTACTTTCTGCTGATTCGTTATTGCCGCTACTTTTCAGGAGCGCGTTTCCCTAAGCTGTGTTCTCTTTCGGCGTTGCTGTTGCATCTCACCAGAGTAGTCAGCTGTTCGTATTCCGGCTTCGTGCTTCGCCATAGCGGGAGCAGCCCTCGCGGAAAGAACTTCGCAAGGAACTTGCTTTTGACCTGTAGCGAGGTCGTATCTAGGGTCATTAGCCGAAACAATACGCACGAAGACCACGCGAACGAGCAGTTACGCGAGCAAGCAAGCTAGTTACCATATGAGAATGGAGAGACGGATTCGTCCGCGTTTGAGACGGCGGAAACGTTAGCTAGCATGTGCTTGTAATGAGGCACTCACAGGACATGGCGCCGTGACGAGAGTGGCCCAGAGTGATTTATAGTCTGTTGCTTGAAGACAATGATACGCATTTCAGCAATGCAGGAGTGATATACAGGCCAAAAATAGGCCATAATTAGCTTAAACGTAGGACATAGGTTTGCCCTAAAGCGGCATAAGTAGGCCATTGGTAGGCCATAAGCAGCCTGCACTAGCAGACCAATGGGATTCGGTCAAAGCCCTGGGACCGCGAGCAGCAGTTCTGGCAGCAATGGCAGCAACGGGGACCGCGGAAGCGTTTCTTTCATCGGCAGCGGGGGAGTCTCGTTCTTCAAGTCTTTATTCGATTCGTCTCAGAAAGCAGCTACTAAGACGGTAGTGGTAGAGGATGGCGACACGCTCTGGGACCTCTCCGTGAAATTCGGCGTGGATTGCGAACAGCTGCAGGCGTTTAACAAGCTGACGTCGGACACTATTTACTCCGGGGACGTTCTTAATATCCCCGTGTCCCCCGCGCGCGTCTCCCTTTCTGAAACGGCGCAAAACTCTGCCGGAAACGCCTCCGCGCGCGTGTCCCTCTCCGCGCCCCCGCTGCTGACCCCCGCGCAAGCAACCACTTCCCCTTCACCCTCTTCCTCCCCCTACGCGCGAGAGTCTCCGCAGCCGTGCTTACGTGTCAGCACTACCGGCACCGCGACCGCGACCGCCAGCACCGCCAGCACCTCCAACACCGCCGCGGACAGCAGCCCCGAGGGCCTTCGCGAGAGCAGCGGGAGTAGCGGGAGCGGCGGTAGTAGCGGGAGCGGCGGGAGCAGCAGCAGCAGCGGGAGCAGCAGTGGGAGCGGGGGGAGCAGCGGGATGGGCGAGAGCAGTGGGAGCGGCGCAAATGCCTCGACTTTTAGCAAAAATGAGATTAAGACCAAGTCAGTCTTAGTCCGCGATGGCGACACGGCGTGGGACATTTCCCTGCGCTTCGGGCTTACTCTAGACGAGCTACTATCTCTTAACGCGAGCATCCCCGACCCGCTATACCCCGGCGACGAGCTATTGCTGCCTGCAGATGCTGTGGAGAGGCCGCGCGCGCTGGTGGCGCTGGCAGGCGTGAAAGCGAAGGTGAAAGGCACGATGCGCAATGCCAACTTCTGGGACGTGTTCCCGCCGCCCAGGAGTGAGTTGGAATGGGGTGGGGGGTGATGTGGGGCAGGTGAGAGTGGGCGGGTGGGGAATGGGTGGGTCTGACACGGTGCCAATGACAGACCCCTATGTTTTAAAGAGTGGGTGAAAGGCACGATGCGTAATGCCAACTTCTGGGACGTGTTCCTGCCGCCCAGGAGAGTTGGGGAGAGCAGGGGGGGCGAGGGGGGGGGAGATGTGGGGAGGGTGGGAGCGGGTGGTCTGATGGACTGCTACTTCTGGGTGGTGCTGGTTATGCTGCTAGTGGTGGCGCTGACAGGAGTGAAGGCGAAGGTGAAAGGCACGATGCACAATGCTAACTTCTGGGACGTGTTTCCGCCGCCCAGGAGTGAGTTTCGGGTGGGATGGGATGTGCGAGGGTGGGAATGGGCTGGAGGGGGGAGGTTGGGTTTGACGCGCTGCTGCTGCTGCTGCTCGTGCACTGGTGGCGCTGAAAGGCATAAAGGCGAAGGTGAAGGGCACGATGCGCAATGCCAACTTCTGGGACGTGTTCCCGCCGCCCAGGAGTGAGTGGGGGGGAGGGGTGGGTGGGGGTGTAATGTGGGGAGGGTGGGAGAGGGCGGGTGGGGAGTGGGTAAGTCTGACGCGCTGCCTCTGATGATGCTGAAAGGCGACGGTGAAGGGCACGATGCAATGCCAACTTCTGGGACGTGTTCCCGCCTCCTAGGAGTGAGTGGGGGGTTCGGGAGGGGGGGAATGGGAGGGAATGGGAGGGGAGTGGGTGGGAGGAGTGAATGGGAGGAGTGAGTTCTGGGAGGGGGTGCAAAGGTCCTGTTGCAGACCCTGCCACCGTACCATCCTCCTTCCCATCTCGATTCAATTCCCCGTCCTAATAAGTGGGGACCAGCTTCATTGAAAGCCTCTCATTAATGTACGCTCCTGTTTGCTTTCCTGTTCACCCTTCCTGTACCCAGTGCACCTGCCCAAAATCCCTCCCACCCCTGGAACAGACGTTGACGCCTACCGCAAGCGCTATCGAGTGCTGCTGGATGCGATGAGAAACGTGGAGACGAGCTTCACTGAACCCACTCATCGGCACACACACCCCCTTGTGCTTCCCCTTCCGCCTGTCAACACACTCCTCTTGCCCTTCCCTGTCACCCAACAGACATTGACTCCTACCGCAAGCGATACCGAGTGCTGCTGGACGCGATGCCATATGTGGAGACCACCCACCAGTCAGCATTCCCCTTCTCCCTTCACTATCACCCCTCCCTCAGACATCGATTCCTACCGCAAGCGCTACCGGGTGCTCCTTGATGCGATGAGAAATGTGGAGACGAGCTTCATTGAACCCACTCATCGGCAGACCCTCTTGTGCTTCCCCTTCCGCCTGTCAACGCACTCCTCTTGCCCTTCCCTGTCACCCAACAGACATCGATTCCTACCGCAAGCGATACCGCGTGCTGCTGGATGCGATGCGATACGTGGAGACGAGCTTCATTGAGCCCGCCCCTGTGGGGGATGATGGACTCTCCATCGGGCCACTGCAGATCAGGTGTGTGAACGCCTGAACCCCTAGACGCTGATGTGCGTGCATGCATGGTCACGCACATAAGGGCTGCTGGATGCGATGCGATACGTGGAGACAATCTTTATTGAGCCCGCCCCCCCTCCCCTGTGGGGGATGATGGGCTCTCCATCGGGCCACTGCAGATCAGGTATGTATGCGTGCATGCATGTGTGCATGCACATGCACATGTGCGATGAGATATGTGGAGACCAGCTTCATTGAGCCCGCCCCTGTGGGGGATGGTGGGCTCTATATTGACCCTCTGCAGATCAGGTATGTGAATGCCGGAACATGCGCATGCACATGTGCATTCTCTTTTATGCTCCCCTCCTTGCCCGCTTTTCACTCGACTCTTTATCTTTCCCTTCCTTCAACGTCGTTTTCCTTCCCTTTCCTGCCATCATTCACCCGGATACGTGGCGTTTGAAACACCGCCCGCGCCTGTCTCCCTCCCTCGCTACCCTGCCATTTATTCATCCACTGCCCCTCCCCACCCCTCTCTCTTTTCTCTACCCCACACCCCTCCTTTCTCTCTCCCCCCTGCCAGCAATGACTATCACACGGACGCCTGGTGGCTGGAGCACAGCCCGCCACTCTGCTACAAGGACTGCTGTTGTCTCTCAACCATCTCACCATTTCCCCGCCTCTCCCTCTCTCCCCCGCCACCAATGACTATCACACGGATGCCTGGTGGCTAGAACACCGACCGCCACTCTGCTACGAGGACTGCCATTGGTCGGTGGAGCACAGCGAGCGCACCGTCATCAACTACTGGCTGCGCTACTGCCCCTGGTCCCTCGAATTCCACGACCATGAGACGCTTGCTCGCACGCATAATGGGGGCCCAGGGTTCTACCGATACATCAAAACCGCCACCTACTGGTGAGGTTCTCGGGGGTTCAGTTTTTTAAGGATAATGGTTCCACGTGCATAGCGTCAACTACTGGCTGCGCTACTGCCCTTGTTTTTTCAAACGACCATGACACGCTTGCTCGCACGCACAACGACGTGCCGGGGTTCTACCGATAACATCAAGACTGTCACCTACTGGTGAGGTGTTGTGGTATGACTGGTGAATCTGGTCTCCTTCCATATCCCCTCTCCCCTTCTCCCCTTCTCCCTCTCTTCTCTTGCTCCTTCCTCCTTCCTCTCCTCCTTCCCCCTTCTCTCCCTTCTCTATCTCGCTTTCTCCTTGTTCCCTTCCCTTCTCGTAACTTCACTCTCTCCATTTCTCCAATACTCTGAAGTCATTACCACTTTCTATTATTATTTGCCTTCATTATCTACCGTACATGTGTAAGGCACATCAACAACCTTAACTTTCTCCCCCCTTCCCCTTCCGCCTATTAAGCCTGTTTCCGCTTCCATTACTCACCCCATTCACAGGTGTAAGGTGACGAGTGCGACGCGGCATGCCGGGTGGTTCCGAGTAATGCCCGAATTTGACCCACACTTATCATCGGCGCACTTGCACCCTCATGGCATTCTTCCGTTGTTCCAGAAGCACTTTCCGTTTTCCATCGCCATGTTAGAACCCGACCCTCATCCAGGAATTTATCAAATCTGATGTAAATGAATCAGAAGTATTATTTGTAGTAAAGTTGCCCATAAGGGGCACAACTACCATATACGATATATGTGTTATGTATAGACTATTTTAAATTGTTGCTGTTTTTTAGCACACTATGTGGTGTTTTCCATTGTCAACGGTTCGCTTTCTCTGTCGGTTGCTAGGCAGCGCCAGCCACCGCTGCGACGGACTTCCATCCAACAAGCGACAAACAAAACAGTCGACCATACCACAACGAGTCGCTCGGGGAAACGATCCACTGCCAGAGGCATCCTCCGCTCCCTTTCCCCACCTCCCTGGGGCGTTTCCTCGCCTCTCCGTGCGACAGCGGAATTCTCGCGGTGGCGGTGGGGTGCGAGTTTTGATGAATTCGCGAAAATTCCCTGGGCTGGCGGAAGCGCGGCACGTGCTTTTGCGCGAGCTTCAAATGTGCAAAAATTGCACATTCGAGCTCAATTCATCCATTCCCTCCACTTCAATTCATTCCATCAGCCTCTCAACTTCTCGCCCCTTCATCAAGTCCAGTTCATCAAACCAGGTTGATCAGTCCATCGATTCACATCTCTCTACCTCCACCAGTTCCTCTCGAAAACTCAATTTTCTATTGGTTCCGTCGCCAGAGCTAGTCTTAGCTCGCTCCATTAGGTTCACCTACTAAAGTTAGAGACGCGCACCTGCGATCTCCCATTTTCCTGTCTCACTCCGGACAATGGCTGCGGTGCATCGATTCGCCGTGCTGCTGCTAGCCGTAGTCGCGGTATGCCACGTCGGCCACGTGTCAGCACTCAACCCCGGGGAAGTGGGGCGAGCCATTGACTTCATCGGGAAGCGGCCGGAATACAAGGCAATCTTCAAATTCGTCGACGATTATTGTACGTTGCGCACCACTCAACGTCACTCAACCCTTCTCAAACGCTGGGTACACGACCCGTGACTCCCTCCATTTGTGCCACCATCGTCAAAGGTCCCATTTTACCGTTCTTGCCATGTCGAAATCCGTAGATGCTCAACTGCCTATGTTTTTTATTGCGTCCCAACCCCAATTTCTTCCCACCAGTGAAATCTCTCATTCCGCTGACCGACCTGACCGTTCTGCTGCCCGCGAACATCGCACTGCTTCGCAACTACACCAAGGACGAGCAGACGACGATTCTAACGTACAACACGATCGCCACGCGCTACATCTTCCGCAACCTCACCGCCATGCCGGCCGGCACGGAGCTCGACACTCTCGAGGGCGACACGGTCATCAAGCGCGGCCCCAAGGGCCTGCCGGCCATCACGTTCAAAGGCGCGGCGAAATTGCCGAGCGTCGTGGCTTTGCCGAACCTGTGGGTTGGTACGGACTTCACGATCCAGGGCACGAGCACGCTGCTCATCCCGCCGGCGCTGCTTACACCCGAGGCTGATACCATCCGCGGTGCGGTCAGAGGAACTCTCCGCGGTACAGTAGGGTTCGCTTTGGATGGCGCTGGCGCTCTTCTGAGGCCCCTTGTCGCCCACCCCTAGCTCATACGGAACTAATAGTTGGTAATTGGTCTAATCCCGCTTTTGCAATGCAGGGATTATGTTAGCAGTAGGAATCCTGCTTCTAAGCTGACTTGTAAATGGTCATTATATTATACAAAATGAGGGAATCTGCGCCACAGCACCCTCTTCAATTGGAAAACCAACTGTGTAACGACGTAGTTAAGCTTATAAGTACGTAATTAGCTATCAACTAGGCCCCCTTGTTACGAGTTATCAAAGAAGAGAGTGCATGGAATTCAATACCTAGACTATAATTTCAACTACAAAATGAATAATGAAGCCTAGTTGTAAGGAATTTTCCCTGATTCCTTACTGAGGCACTCTATGCGCGTACATGTCAAATGTTATTATGTGTTATAGGCTGCAGTGAGGTGCTCCTTAGTGAGTACAACTCAGTTAGGGTTTCATATTTGTACTGCCTTGCTTTCCTAGTCACACATTCCGTTGCATTCTATTTCTGAGATGGTATCACGAGTAGGTTTAGAATCCTTGCCTAGCCTAGCCTAGCTCGTGCCCTCGAGCCCTCCGCGCCCTAGCGCCCTCCGCGCCTTAGGCGCCCTCCGTCACGTGCCCAAGCGCCCTCCGCGCCCTAGCGCCCTCCGCGCCCTCCGTGTCGCGCCCTCCGCGCCCTCCGTAACGCGCCCTCCGCGCCCTCCGTAACGCGCCCTCCGCGCCTCCGCGCCTAGCCCTCCCCTACGCGCCCTCCACGCCCTCCGTATGGCGCCTCCGCCCCAGCCCGTCGGGTAGCCCGTGCGTCCTACCCTAGCCCGTCGCGTAGCCCGTGCGCCCTGCCCCAGCCCGTCGTGTCGCCCGTGCGCCCTGCCCCAGCCCGTCGCGTCGCCCGTGCGCCCTACCCTAGCCCGTCGCGTAGCCCGTGCGCCCTGCCCCAGCCCGTCGCGTCGCCCGTGCGCCCTGCCTCAGCCCGTCGCGTCGCCTGTGCAGAGCAACGCGCGCCCCTGCAGTGCAGCGCGCGCCCACGTACAGGGCAGCGCGCGCCCTAGCAGAGCAGCGCGCGCCACCCGGGCATAGCAGCGCGCGCCCCTGGCCAGACATACGCGCCCCAGCCAGAAACGCGCCTCACGTACCTCCTCCTAACCGCCCACACCTCCTCCTAACCGCCCACACCTTCTCCTAGCCGCCCACACCTCCTCCTAGCCGCCCACACCTCCTCCTAGCCGCCCACACCTCCTTCTAGCCGCCCACACCTCCTTCTAGCCGCCCACACCTCCTCCTGCACTAGGCACGTGGTTCCTTCCCCCCTCCACCGCCCTGTTCCTCGGGCCCAAACCGTTCCTACTGCTATTGGCTTTCCGGTCAGCGGCTGGCAGCCGCTTCACTCTCCGGTCACTCGATTTCGACCCGGGTCACACCTAGCTCCTAGCCTCTAGCCCCTAGCCCGGTACCTTTTGCCTAGTCTCCACTGGCGTTCCTAGGACTCCTAGTTTCACCTCCTCCGTCGCTAGCTGTTCTCCATCCTCGCTCCTAGCTCCGCCTGCTCCGTACTCCATCCGCCGCTAGCCTAGCCTCCACTATGGACTCCTCCCGCCGCCTTCGCTTCGATGCGGAGGGACGTCCGATAGAGTTCGGCACCTGGCTCCGCCAGACTCAGCGCTACCTCACCAGTCAGCGCCAGGACGGCGCCACCTTGTACGCCCACGCGTCCGGCGCCCTCCAGGCACCCCGGCGTCCCGAGCCCCTACCTGCCGAGCCCCCCCCGACTCCTAAGGCGCAGGCGGACTACGATCGTCTCGTCTTGGCGCGGGACGTTTGGGACTCCTGTGACGCTGTGGCTGCACTCGCGCTGGCAGAGCTCCTTCCACCGACTGAGGCCGCTCACTTCGACCTGGTAGAGACTGCAAAGGGGGTTTATGATGCTATTTCTGCACGCTGTTCCACCCCTTCCTCTGCCTCCCTCAGCCGCATCCTCATGCCGTTCGTGTTTCCCGACCTCGGCTCGTTTGCGATTGTCTCCGACCTAGCCACTCACTTGCGTTCCCTTGTCGCTAGCTACCGTGCAACTTGCACTGAGGCTCAGCTTCTTGTTGCTCCCCCTCCTATCTGGCTCACCGTCCACTGGGTAGTCACTCGTCTCCCTGACCGCCTCTCCACTGCCCGTGACGCGCTTCTCCAGCAGCACCCCAATGAGCTTACGATTGATCTTCTCGAGACCACTCTCGGGAAGATCGAGAGTAACCTCCTCTCTGTTGCCTCGGCCACTGACGCAGTCGCTCCCCGTATGTTTGAGGGGTGTGCTGTCCCCCAGCTTCCCACCTTCACTGCTACTCGTGCCTCTGCTGCTGTGTTGGTCTCTGATGACACTGCAGCTGTTTCTGCCGCTGACTGGCGGAAACGGGGCAAGGGGGGCAAGAAAGGGGGGAAGGGGGGTGGCGGCGGTGGAGGAGGTGGCGGTGGTGGAGGCGGCACTGGGGGCGGCAGTGGTGGCGGCGGCGGTGGTACACCAGGCGGAGGGAGCCCTGGAGGAGGTGCTGGCTCACCTTCTGGAGGAGGTTCGACCAGCGGTGGTGCGGAGCCCCAGCAGCAGCAGCCACAGCAGAGCCAGCAGCAGCAGCAGGGACAGCAGCAGCGGCAGGCACCACATCAGTTTCAGTCGTGGGGACCACGCTGCAGTGGGGTCCGCAGCAGCATTGGGGCCCTCCGCCACAGTGGGGACCTGGAAGACCCGGGAGCACTGGCCGCAGCAGCAGCACTACCAGCTGGGCCCCGCGCCCCCCGCGACGCGACACCGGCCCCTGCGACCACTGGTGCGTCACCGGACAGGGCGGTCCCTGTGTCTGCGGCCGCGACGACCACTCTGCGGCGCGGTGCTTCCACTGCCTCGACGACCTCTACCGTGCACGCTGGGGTCCTGAGGCGACCACCCCGCGCTGGGCTCGCCTACTAGCCCGTAAGATTCTTGTATTTGAACTGTCTATGGACGATGCTCGTCAGTATGCTTTGTATGCTGATGTTGACTATAGTGCTGATGGATCTGTGTGCTCGCGTATTTGTAGTCTAGGATGCTTGCCTCCTGTTAGTGTAGACCTGTGCCTCTCTAGTCTAGGTGCTTGTGTTTCTGCTCTAGGTGCTTGTGTAGCCTCCGGACCTAGCACGCCTCCGGCTGAGGCGTCCCTGTCTTTCACGCTGGACTCTGGCGCATCGCAGTGTTACTTCCGTGACCACACGACCCTCACACCACTCCTTGCTCTGGTTCCGGTATCTCTGGCTGATCCTTCTTCAGGACCAGCCGTTGAGCGCAGCTCCACCACCCTCCCGTGCCCTGTGGTCCCCTCTGGTGTCCTACGCAGCCTCCACATCCCCTCGTTCACTCGGAACTTGGTGGGTGTTGGATACCTCCAGGACAGGGGGATCATGGTTACCTTTGTGGAAGGTGGGAGGACTGCGGTCTGTACAGCGCGCTACAGGTGTTGTTCTGGCCACGTTCACCAGGGAGTACACTCCAACTTTAGGAGTTCCACGCTCGGTCTGATGACCTCGCCCTCCGAACGTCCCTCGCGTCGCCTTCGGGTTTTCCAACCCCAAACCTGCTCTTAGAAACTAAGGAACCTAAGAAGACTATCGAGAGAGTTTGTGTACCCCCTAGGATGAAACTCACTACATCCTATCTAAACTAGATAACATAGTTTGACACATGTACCCAACCATGCGCGGTCCCGCGACCTCGACCTAGCTAGCCCTCGCTATATTAGTGCTAGGTTTCATTAATCATGATGCAATTGTTGTATTCACTTCCGCGTTATTGAATCTTCCACTCTTCTTCATTAAAACTCATAACACTTGGTATCGGAGCTACTTTCCTAGATTACCCTCGCGATTCCGGGGTAGTTTAGTGACGGGGTGCGATAGACTTGGTGGACTGCGAAGCGGTCGGCTCTGAGTAAAAATACGATTATTTCACCCCGACTACGTTAGCGTTCGCGCCTTCATCAAAGGCGTAAACCGTTGTTAACCCCCTACCCGTTAGGTGAAGCCTGATAAATATGGAGCAAGCCGAGTTTGACGAGTTTGTGCAAAAGTTCCCGGCGATGCAGGCCAACTTGCAGACGATGTCTGTGGAGGTCGAACGCCTGAGGGAGGAAAACGCCGAGCTACGCCAGGCGCGAGGTGAAGCGCGCCAGGAGTCGCCCTACGTGGATGAAGCGAGTAGCAGCTATACGACGAACGAGGCCGTTTTCAGTGAGCTTGAAGGCTCCATGGACGCTGCAGACGAGAGGCGGGCACGACAGCAACAGTCGCAGCGCCAAGACGAGCGCCAGCGACAACGCCGGCGATGGCTTCAACAGCAGCAACAGTACCAGCGGCAACGGCAGTTTCTACAACTGTCAAGATTAAACGAAGGAACCCGCCCCCGTTCAACACCAGCGACAAGAACGTCACTGTTTCCGCGTGGTTGTTCGGAGTGGAAGTTTTATTTAATGCTGCGCAAATCGCTGATGATGCCACCCGTATTAATTTTGCAGTGTCATTGTTACGAGGACCTGCGTTGGAGTGGTGGCGACGCACGCTGCAGTCAGAGGGGACTCCGGCAGGGATGTCACGTGTGAACGACGGGACCTCGACAGCTGTCATGCAACGAGCAGCATCAATCTTCGGAGTGGCCACGATACGCACATGGAATGAGTGGGGCGCCGCCTTACGAACCAGATTCGAGCATGTATCCGCCTTGGATTCTGCTCGCATAAAGATGCGTGCCTGGAAGCAGTTGACATCGGTCCAAGACTACACGGTGACGTTTTGCACTTTGGCCGACCAAGTGGACGACATGGGCGACGCGGAGCAACTCGACAAATACGTCGCGGGCCTCAAGTATGAAATACAGTTTGAGGTGCGACGAACGAGGCCGCGCGACTTCCACGATGCCGTCCAACTAGCCGAATCAACGGACGCGCTCATGTAGTGGGCGAGAACGAGTTTCCGAGAGGGCAATCGTTTCCGTGGATCGCCTCAACCGCCCACAATCA